TTTGATTTTCTAGTATTCTGGTTTCGACACTTTCCCATCAATCACATCAAGTGCGCCCTCATGGTAGTCCATGAAATCTCGAACACGATGTTTCCAAATGGGCCAATCGGCTGCGCAACTTAACTGTTTTATTTGAAGCTTTGAGTCCATTTTGAAGGAAAAAAAATTGACGTTCTTGCTTCAACGATAGTTGGAAAAGTTCTTTTATTCACGAATTGCAATCTCTTTCTTTTTTTTCAAAATAACTTTTTCTCTAAACAATTTATTAAGCGTTCTGGGCTCATAACTTGTTTAAGATAAAAAACTTCTTTGTTTGTTTTTAATATAATTGTTTATTAAAGAAACGTTAATTGAAATATTAGAAGACACGTTAGTCGACAAAAAGCGAAAAAACATACACGTGCAAGTTAGTCAGGTTAGCAATAATATAAGATTGTCTGAAACTATGGAAAGTCATAAATATATTGAAACATATATAATATACATATATATTATTTCAATACATATAGATAGATTTCAACGTAATACCGTCATCGCTCAATTAATTGCATTTATAATGAAAATATGCATTTTCAAAGTTTTTAGATTAATAAAATTTGAAATGCGTCAGCGTAAGGGCTAAGGTAAGAAATGAAGTTGGTCTATAATTATTAGTTAAACTACTTATTTTAAGTTGCAAAAATGTTAGTTAAACTATGAATATTTATTTAGTTGCTCATCACTGGATTCTGAAAATGTTTTGATTTAGTAAAAAAACACCTATCGAGTGAAATTGGATTTTGATCTAAACTGAAGCTCGCTGCATAAAACGTGCATCAGAATTTGTTAAAATTGGCAAAAGGCCGCTCTACAACTTGTATGTATGCGTTCATGTTCAAATGATTGCCAGGATAACCGTTTTTTCAAGAATTAACATTTTATTGCTTTTTAACTAATAAAAAATACTTGTTGTCTGAAAATACTTTTCTTGTCTGAAAATATTAAAATTAGCTCTTTTTTCCCAGAAAAGCAGAAGCATAGTTTTTGTTTATATTGGAAACCCACCTCAACCTAAAAAAAACTTTAATATTAAAATTAATAATAGAGAACCGTTAGTCAGAGTTGGAAGCAAGTCAATATAATGAAAAAATGATAAGTGCCGTTGAAATAAAGCTTTACAAATAAAAGTAACTGTTGGATTTTTTAAATAGCTATTTTTTTTCCCAAAATCCAGCCTCATTTGTTAAGTATTTCAGAAAATATCTATGAAGTAGAATTCAATAGCAAAGATTACGATCATATATTGTCCTGCATCTCTAGAGAAGGAGAAAAAATTGTTGTAAGTATATTTAATTATGTAAAATTGAAAATGTTCTTCAGGAATATTTTATTAATCATTCGCTTCATTGATCCGTCGTTGATGTACTTTAACCTCTTGAAAACCGTAAAGGTCAATACTGTCCATTTATGCTGTCGATTTCTTAAATCATTTAATATTTTTGGGTTAATTTCATTGAATCAACGATGCCGACCCAGTCATCCATCCATTTTTTGCCAGGTCTTTTTTCTTTGAAATTTTCTTTCTCATTGTCAGTTTTATATAATATTTTTATTCGGCATTCAACAAATGTGCCCAAAAAATCTTATTTTCACATGTACTTAACAGTGTAAAAAATACACCCTGCCGAACTCTTTTGGAAATCCATATAAAAATGCTTGCTCCCAACATTTTGCATTTTCCATCCATAGTTATAATATCAGAATTTGTTAAATCCTTCTTCTTCGTCTTATGTAAAACTTCCTTGATTTTTTGGTTTGTTTTATGGATAGTTTATTTATTTATTTGGACTGATATGCAATAATTCATTTGGCTATTTTTTGTTTTTCGTATTTCTCATAGTGATTCTCTATTTTCTTATGTACGACTGGTCTTCCTACTCTATCAGTA